AATGCCGCTCCAGCGCTTTGGTCTGCCACTCCTCGAACAGCAGTACCATCAGCTCGCACAGCGTCGACCTGATGTCCTTTGACTTGGACTGGTTTAGCGTGTCCATATAGATTTTTAACAGCTTCGGGGCGTGCGTGTACTTGATTATGTACTTGAGGGCCAGCGTGGATGCAGAGGCTATGACCTTGGCGCTGTTCTGGATCAGGTTTATCAGCTGCTCCAGAATGCTCCAGCAGAAGGCGTCCAGCTTGTTCCTCAGCGTCTTGGACATGTACGCGATGGTGATGCAAGCCTCTCGGATCACCTGCGAGCGGAGCTCCTCCTTGAGGATGTCCAGGAAGCCCAGAGACAGCTCCTTCAGCTGCACAGCCACGAATTGCGGCTGCGTGTGATAGCTGAGGATGAGCAGTGCTCGGATCTTCTTCAGCGCCTCCACACGCTTCTCCCAGTCAGCGGTCTTGTCGCTAATGATCACAAGTACCTGCTTATAAATATCGTCCATGTCCTTGGCATGAAAGATATTCAGCTGCGGGACCTGCTCAAAGCTGGCCTCGAAGATCTCCATGGTAACGGCGCCAGCATCACCACTAACGTCGGTCGCACTGGGCTTGGATCGCAGCGTCGATGAGACTGCCGAGTGCAACGGCCTCTTGATCATCCTTGTGGGTCGCTCCCTAATCCCAATGTTGTCCGCTTCGTCCAGGCCTAGGCCGTTGCCATTGCCATTTGTGTTTTTTAGGGCGGAGGGCAGCAAAAGTCCCTCCTGCTTGACCTGATCAAACTTTTGCTCCAAGAGCGCCAGCTTGGAGGCGGGCATGTCGTCCATGCGGCGCAGATCCGGCCGCAGGCGATCGCCCACATGCTTGTAGATCTCCACAAGCGTCTGAATGGCTGCCTCCCGCACATTTACAGTAGGGTCACCCAGAAGGGCGCATACAGGCTGAATGTAGACGCGCACGCTCAGCTGCTGGGTGCCATACTCGTGTAGAGCATTTACTATGGTCTGCAAGAACTCCTCGCGCACCTTGGCGTTCTTGTGCTTGAAGCAGCTGGTGGCCAGCTTGTCGATTAGCGTTTGCGGCGGCAGCACTCGGTGCTCCATGAGATCCCGCAGCAGCAGTTGGGCCTTCTCACGCACCGTGTCCCGGCTGTCTCCCAGCCGGTCGATCACATGTGGCAGCACGGTGGCTGTGTACGCGTTAAAGTCGCTGCCCAGCCGCTTGATTAGCTCCGAGAAGGCCTCCAGCGACTTTTGTGCTATCTTAAAGTGACTGCCCGTCAGCCACGGCATGAGTCCGTCGATGAGGAAGCCCATGTCTGTGCACACAATGGAGTTTGTGTCGTCGCTCAGGAATGTCACTAGATCCTCGGCCAGCTGCACCTTCACTCGCATATCCGCCTTGGGCATCTGCTGGATGAACCCGTCCAGGTCGCTGGGCTTGCGGTAGGCCATCGCGTCTCGGATCTATTCGCTCCCTTGCGCTGCTTCAACTGCAATAAACCAGGATTCAGAGTTAGTCTTTGTGCTGCAGTGCTTCGCAAATTAAATTTAAATTGCATGAAGGGGTGGGCAATTTTGGCGCAAGGATGCAGGGACTGATAAATTGGAAATTGATGGCCTGACCAGAAAGTGGAGGGGAGGTTAAATCTTTCTTTGGCCGTGTCAGAATATAAATAAATATATATATATTATATGTATAAAAAGAACTATAAAAAGCAGTAAGACTAAAATTTGTTAACGACGAATTTCATTGTAAAACTGTTTAGATTTGTTAACTTCAAAACTAGTAAACCATCTGCTTTTGTTTGAATTATATTAAGGAAGTAATTGTCAATTCTGAAAATGAACTAATGCCTACTTAATTGTTTATTAAGAACTAAGCTACACGATTCAATACAGATTTTTATTCATAGAAATTGTGTGGACACTTGAGACACTTGAAAACCCTTTTTAAACTTTACTAAAAACTAAACAGATTAATTTCTCTGTAAAAAATATGTGAAGGTTTACTGCTAATTTCCCTGCCTTAATAGAACCTTTTCAAAGAATTGATATTATTGATGGAAGGTTATAAGGGAATCTATGATTAACTAAATCCCATTTTTAATGTATAAATGTTATTAAGCCTCTCTGATAAAACCTTCAGCAACACGCCAGCAAACTAAAACTTAAATAACAAACAAATTCTAAAGCTATGACTAATAGGATGCTGTTGTCGTGGACCTTCCCAAAATCTTCCCGCCAAATCCCTTACACTCTCGTTTATCGCATTTAAATTGCTGGAATTCACTGCGGGTGCGCACTGGAACCCCAAAAGTGGATAGAAGCAGCAGCGCAACAGCCGCAGCAATTGGCCAAGTGGGCAACAATTTCCGTGTGAGGTGAAGTCACAGAGCCAGAATAGCGATAAAGAGCGGAGTGGAGCAGCGCAGAGAATGAGAGCTGGGAGCGGAGAGCTGGAAAAGTAGGTGAATGGCTGTGCGGGTGGGGATGGGCACGGATACACGGATACTTGGCCACCGGAGTTGGCGAGGAGACAGGAGGGATATGTGGGCATCCAGATGGTGGGGCGTTGTTACGTGCACAAAACGTGAATCATCTCACAAGCGCCGAGAGCGTGACGAAGTCAGTCTCAGCCTCGGTGGGTGCAAAACTGGGTGGTTGTGGGGCAGGCGGTGGTGCACAGGAAGCTTGGAAAACAATATATGGATTTGTATTTGGGATTCCGCGATTTCAATTTTTGGGCAGTGTGTTTGCGCTGCCGTCACAATTCAACAATTTGTGTGTGCGGAGAGCAATAATAATATTACAGTGCACACTCAAAGGACGGATTTTTAAGTCTGATTCAAAGCAAAAGACAATATTCTTTCTAAAATCATAACAGATAGCAGACAGCTTTTGTGTTAGTTAGTGGTGAACTAAACTGAATACTTTGATAAAACCCGCGGTAAATTTAGAAAATGTACCGCTAAAGTTCATGGGTCTTTCGCGACGAGTAAGCCCTGTATTATTTATATGGCAATGGAACGGGCCGAATGAGATAATATAGCTAAATGACAACAACAATTACCAAGCAACAACAGCGACTTGTTGAGAGAGCAGCAGCGAGCCAAAAGTGAGCGGGAGAGCGTGTATCTTTGTCGAGAGAACTGCGAAGCGAAGCTACAAATTAGCATTTGCATACGCAATTTTCTATTTATAAAAAACATCAACAAACTCAACTTCACGGGCAAGCCTGCTTTCGTAACTATTTCTCAGGGTTTTCCTCTGATATACACCTCTACTGAAGGCGATAAGATACGAACTCGTTAATCAGATTTCTTTAATGAGTGCCTCGCCGCGCTGTATCCTAACCTAACTAAATGTTTGGCGACAGCTGGCCGAATTTTTGGTTAATTAATTGTTCAAAAACTGCCGGCGACGACGTCATTCCGCCGCTAAATGTCACTCGCCGAAGAGAGAGGGAGTGGTGCGGAGAGCGTTGAAGGAAGTGATTTGCTCAAGTTTAGTGGCTTTTTTTAAAACATTTTTTGCATTGGATACGCACTCACACGCACACAAACACCAACACTCCAACACACATACCTATTTGCAAATCCGGCTGCGCTGCTTCTGCTACGCCTCTGCTTCTTTCTCCGCTCGTTTTGTTGGGCTGGGCCGCAAAATGAATTTAACACAACTGCTGCTCGTCGCTGCCCTTTAGCAGTCCAAAGAATTGATTTTCCAGCCGCCAGTGGAGAAACGTCTGCCGATGGCCGCAAATACGCGTAACGAGTTGACTAAATTTACTTTCGAGCACAGCCAAATTGAAAAAATTGCCCCGAAAAGCAGAGATCACAGTTTTGCTCTTCCTAATATTGTTCCGCGTATTGTTATTGTTGTTGTTCCTGGGGCAGCGCAGTCAGTTTCACTTTGACATTTGTATTTGTTGTTGTTGTTGGTCTCTACCGTTATTGCTGCGCGACAGCAGCGGCGGCGGCAGCAACAACAACGGCAGCAGCGGCGGAGCACGAATTCCAACGTCTTCGGCAGCGCTGCTCGCGTCAACTTTTCCTTCTCTTTCACTCTGTCTCTCTTTTGGGTGACGCGCTGGGGTCAGAGAATTTGCACTTTATTTGCAGTTGCCGAGCGTTTGCAGTGCCCGGCAAACATCATAATTTGTTGCAGTTCTTCATGGGATCACCAGTCTGGCACGATTAGCGCGTGGATTAAACAAATTACGGCTTAATTTAAGCAGCGATTTTGGCTTTAGTTTACGAAAAAATTACAAAGTCGACAGTGTGACAGCACTCGATAAAGACGAACAGTGTGCCCAAGCTGCTGCCGATATGTAGCTATCGATACATTGTACAACTTTTTCAGAATATCGATATCGGTCTAGTTATTTAATTTAACCGTGTTTTTGCTCTCTTAAATTAGTTATAGGTATGTTTACTGACTTACCTCAGGTAAGACCATGTTTTAACTTACGTAGGATTAGATATGAGCCTGTTTTGGTAACTTTAACTTCTTTAAAATATCGACAACTGTCCTATCGCGTTGCCAATTGAAAAACGGCAAGCCTTGACCCGCGTTGCCAACTAAATTGTTTAAATCGACTATTATATTTAAATTAATAAAAAATTAAATTTAAAAATAAACAAATTCGAAATATTTAAAATATAAAATATAAATAATAAATAGTAAATATAAAAATAATAATATATTATTTTGTTTATAATTATATTGTTATTGTTTAATTTTGTAAATAAATTAACAACAAGACACCAGCTTAAAATACATATGTTTTGTTTTAGATAATATAATTCCACGGACTTAATAGCAGTAATATTGTAAATTAAAATTTTAATTTATTTTCAAAGAACATAAGAACTCCAAACAAACTAAAAGTTGTATTAACTATGTATTCTTAAACCTTTTGCATAATTACAGTTCTAAATTAAACTTAATGCCCTTCAACAAATAAATCCACAAATATCGCAGTGAAAAGTAAAACCAATTGTATTGATTGACGTTTTTATTAATAAAGAGTAATATGCATATTATTGGCATATTCATTGTAATTGACAGCTGGCATTTTCTTTAATATATGTATATTCATATTCAAACAGATGTATGTATACAGTTGCCGAGTGGACCGCACGTGCCTTTAATTAAGCCCATATGGCGGAAAACATTGTAACCGTAGACCGCCGCCGTATCAGATGTCAGAATAAGTGCATATTTAAGCTAATTGAACGCCTCTCGAGGCGACTATTAATTAGAGACGTGTATTTGTTTGTGGATGTCTTAACTAATTCATTTAACATATTTATTTCTCAGTCTTTGTTGACCTGGTGAACGGCCTGAGCACGTCCAGAAGGGTCCTCCGGACAGCCCCAATCCAGGCGGGGCACCCACCTCACCACGGTCCGGGCAGCAGACTCCCCGGGAAACAGTTCGGAAAAGATGCTGCGGTAATAGTACGCCTCCTTGGTGCTGGGTGTGCTGAAGGGGAATCGGAGAGCTGCGCCAGCGAACTCCTCATCCGTCACATGGCTGGTGGCCACCCGGCGAATGCTGTCGATCCAGTCGTAGCCCACTCCGTCGGAGAACTGCTCCTTCTGCCGCCACAGGACATCGTCCGGCAGGTAGTCGTCCGCAAAGGCAGCTCGCAGGACATATTTCTCCAGCCGCTTTTGCTGCTGTCCGCCGAATTGGTTGAGCGTTCCCGGTATCTTATCCTCCGGTCGGATCTGCATCACATGGTTTACGAATCCCGTGTCGAGAAAGGGCACTCGCAGCTCCACTCCCTTGGCCATGGCCACTTTGTTTGCCCTCAGGCAATCGGATAAGTGCAACTGGCGGACTCTCTTCACCAACTCCTCGTGGAAGTCCTGGTAGTTGGGCGCCTTGTGGAAGTAGAGGTATCCGCCAAAGATCTCGTCAGCACCCTCGCCGGACAGGATCATCTTAATGCCAGTGCTCTTGATGTATCTGGCCAGCAGCAACATGGGCAAGCTGCATCTCACAGTGGTGACATCGTACGTTTCGAGATGGTAGACAATATCCCTGATTCCATCTAGGGCTTCGTCGATCTCAAAGATGATTTCCTTGTGGTCGCTGTTGATATACTTGGCCACATTCCTAGCGGCCTTAAAATCGGGGGCATCCTTCAGACCGACCGAAAAGGTCTTCAATCGGTAGTTGGGATCCCTCTCCCTCATAATCTTCGTGGCTATAGAGGCTATGAGGCTGGAATCCACTCCTCCAGACAGTAGCGCTCCAAAGTGGACGTCACAATGCAAATGGCAGCGCACCGCCGACTCCAAGTTGGAACGAAGTAATGATAATTCGCAGGCTTGGGTTGGTACCTCGTTGAGCCAGGGCTGCTGGAACTGCCAGCAGGTTTGCAGCTGGCCCACCCTTCCAAATCGAGCCTCGCCAGGCGTGAAGGTCTCGACCTTTGGGCAGGTGTCCACCAGGCACTTCATCTCCGAGGCAACCCACAGGTTTCCAGACTCATCCTCGCCCACATACATGGGTATAATGCCAACGGGATCACGGGCCAGGAGGACCTCTTTGGTCCTGCGATCATACAAGGCAAACGCAAACATCCCGCTGATGTGGTCCAGAAGGTCCACTCCGTAATCCTTGTACAGTTCCAGGATCACGTGGCAATCGCTTTTGGGGTTGTAGGAACCGCGTCTCTTCGCAATCTCCGCCGAAAGCTCCAGATAGTTGTAGATCTCTCCGTTGGCCACCAGGATAAGGTTGCCATCCTCGGAGACAAAGGGCTGATCGCCTTCTGCCACACCCACGATCCGCAGGCGTTCGTGCACCATGGCCACTCCTTCCGAGGCAATCACATAAACACCAGTGGAGTCCGGGCCTCGATGACGTTGCTTTCCACTTTGCCGGTAGGCCAGCTCCCTCAAACTGTGTTTGCTGCCATGCAGGATTTGTGGGGGAATTGGTTCCCCATCCCGTGAAAATATGGAAAAGATGCCGCACATTATATATGGTTTCCTTGACGAATTTAATTAAAGTATTAATACAAGCGAGGTCCGCGCGTGGCGAAGTGCGAAAACTGATTGGAGAGGTTTCTAGAGGAAAGCGCTTATTTATGGGAAAGCTCTCTCGGTCTGATTTGCTTTTGCTCTCCCAAAATCTCCCTGTTTCTCTCAGTGAAGTAGCAATGCTGATTACCATGTGCTCACAAGTTTCGTCATCCAACTTCTAGAACTAGCTCGTCTTCAGTTAAAATCTGCGGAGACACTTGTTGCTCTTTAATAATTATCAATAAAAAGGTTTATACAGACGGCTTCCCCGAAATTATTTATTTATGATTCAGCAATTCTTATCAAAATTGGGCCAGTGGGAGCTACAAAATAATTGATAAAAAATTTAAAAGCCGGCTGGTTTTTGTTTACGCCCTCTCTTTTCGCTTACTCTCTCGCGATTCAGCGCTGATTATACTTTATCAACAGTTTCGTCATCCGATTTACTCTTTCTCAAAGGATACAACTTTTTAAGAACATTTTTTTAAATATAAAATTGGACCAACATTATATATTTATTATGCGCAATATATTTATTTCATAACAATCATAATCATAAAGTTTTTATAAAAATATTTGTAAGGGATATTTACCAAGCCGAAAAAAATTACAAAGTAAAGAAATAGAAAATATAAATTTTATATTTACCTTAAATTAATCATAAAATATTAATTATTTATATATGTATTTAATGCTTTTCTTTGCGTAAATAAATGTTGAACAGTTTGTTATCAGAACATTTGTTAATAAATATATTTTTAGCTTTGGTATCTTCTATGCCTAAGAGAAAAGGGTATTAACAAGTGTAACTACATAAAAAATCATGTTTTGTCTAATGTCTCTCATTTGTTCTCAAGTCTTATAAAAACGTGCTACGAATTAGCGGAGACCGGTTTTATTTTTGCCTCTCCGATGCTCTTTTGCCAGCAATACATACCTATATTTATTCATTTATTAAACAATTTGTTTACAAAAATGTAAACCCAAATCAAATCATATACACTTTTCATACAAATAATTTTATATTTTCACAAATATTTTGAAAAAAATAAAATTATATGTGCTATTTGCCTTTCTGGGTCTGGTGGGCGGCCTGAGCCAACCCGGAAGGATCCTCGGGACAGCCCCAATCGCGCCGTGGCGCCCATTTCACTACGGTCCGGATAGCCGATTCGCCGGGAAACTGCTCGGCGAAGATGCAGCGGTAGTAGTATGCCTCCTTGGTAGCAGGTGTGTTGAAGGGAAACCTGAGCGCTGCTCCCTTAAATTCCTCATCCGTTACGTGACTGGCGGTGTATGGTCGGAGGCAGGATATCAGATCGTAGCCCACCCCGTCCGAGAACTGCTCCTTCTGCCGCCACAGAACATCTTCCGGCAGATAGTTGTCCGCAAAGGCAGCTCTCAGGACATATTTCTCCAGCCGCTTCTGCTGCTCTCCCCCGAATTTGTTCAGGGGTCCCGGAATCTTATCCTCCGGACGGATCTGCATCACATGGTTTACGAATCCCGTGTCCAGGAAGGGCACCCGTAATTCCAGGCCCTTGGCCATGGTCACCTTATTGGCGCGGAGGCAATCGGATAAATGCAACTCCAGGACTCTCTTCACTGACTCCTCGTGGAAGTCCTTGTAGTTGGGGGCACTGTGAAAGTACAGATAGCCTCCGAAGAGCTCATCCGCTCCTTCGCCGGACAGGATCATCTTGATGCCTGTGCTCTTGATATCCCTGGCCAGAAGGAGCATTGGGATACTGCATCTTACTGTGGATACATCGTATGTTTCTAGGTGATAAACTATGTCCCTGATGTTATCCAGAGCCTCGTCGACGTCAAAGAGGATCTCCTTGTGATCACTGTCTATATAATTGGCCACAAGTCTGGCGGCTTTCAGATCAGGGGCATCGTTTAGACCTACAGAGAAGGTCTTCAATCGGTAATTGGGGTCCCTCTCCCGCATAATTTTCGTGGCTATAGAGGCTATAAGACTGGAGTCCACTCCTCCGGAGAGTAAAGCTCCAAAGGGAACATCGCATTGGAGGTGACTCCTAACTGCGGCCTCCAATTTGGAACGAAGTAATGGCAAGTCGCAAGCTTGGGTGGGAACCTCCTTGAGCCAGGGCTGCTGGAACTGCCAGCAGGTTTGCAGTTGGCCCACCTTTCCAAATCGGGCCTCTCCAGGCGTGAAGGTCTCCACCTTTGGGCAGGTGTCCACCAAGCACTTCATCTCCGAGGCAACCCACAGGTTTCCAGACTCATCCTCGCCCACATACATGGGTATAATGCCAACGGGATCACGGGCCAGGAGGACCTCTTTGGTCCTGCGATCATACAAGGCAAACGCAAACATCCCGCTGATGTGGTCCAGAAGGTCCACTCCGTAATCCTTGTACAGTTCCAGGATCACGTGGCAATCGCTTTTGGGGTTGTAGGAACCGCGTCTCTTCGCGATCTCCGCCGAAAGCTCCAGATAGTTGTAGATCTCTGCGTTGGCCACCAGGATAAGGTCGCCATCCTCGGAGACAAAGGGCTGATCGCCCTCTGCCACACCCACTACCCGTAGGCGTTCGTGCACCATGGCTACTCCTTCCGAGGCAATCACATAGACACCAGTGGAGTCCGGGCCACGATGACGTTGCTTTCCACTTTGCCGGTAGGCCAGCTCCCTCAAACTGTGTTTGCTGCCATGCAGGATTTGTGGGGGAATCGGTTTCCCATCCCTGGAGAATATAGAAAAGATACCGCACATAATTCGGGAGCTCAATCGAGAGATCTAATTCTAAAAACACAATGTCCGTACGCTACAAAGTGCGAAAACTTTATGAAGATGTATGACCGCGGAGCAGTGTTTTTATTGCAAACGGGGTGTCATTATATATGCACATTTACTTTGCAGTAATATAAAAACAAAAATTTCGCAAATTGGTGGTGGACTTTGAGCCGACCAAACGCAATCGAAAGAAAATAGTTTATCTTTAATCACATTTATATATAAAATATTTGTATTTTATAAATCTTTTCAATCAACTGCTATCACTTAAGCTAAAAAAAAATAAAGTATGTTAAATAATTTAATGCAAAATAGGGACTGTATTATACAATATTTAATTTATTCAGTATTAATTTTTACTTTTTTCCAGTCACTGACTAAAGTTTATGAAAATTATTAAATTAAAAACAAAAACTATGGAAGTCACGCTGGCAGATTTTCAAACCAATTTTAGCTTTCTACATCATCATCAAGTTTTTAACACATTTTCAGACAGCGCTACTAAGACAATAATTGGTTATCACGATCATTCAATATTTAGTATTTTACTTTAAATATTTAATAGTAAACCAGATGCAAGCTCTTTCAATTGGACCAAACCGCCGGTACTATGACAGCTATAACATATAGTAGACACATCTAGATCTCGAAATAAAATTTAGTGTTATACAAATAAAGGAGAATATAAATACAAGGTTATGGTAATTGGTTTAATGTTTTTCCATTCCGTTTCATCTATAATATAAAAAGTTAGATTTTAATAAAATTACAAGTTGTAATTTACAACATAAAAGGTATTTTTGAAATCACAAATAATTTTAAAGTTTCATTCATAAAACTGCACTTATAGCTGATTTCAAGATATAACTAATTGAATAGATTGCGGATGAGTACAGCTGAGTATGTCTAGATTGAAATTTAGAAGACACAAACTCTTGCGTATATAGTTTTTTAAATAAAACTTATTTTATATTTACAAAACCAAAAATTTCAAACTTAATTAGTATTTAGTATAAGGTATTTCAAACTAACAACCGCCTATCTATATTGCCAAGTTAAAAGTACAATTAATAGATATAAATCCGTTTCGATCCGCCCCCTTGATTAACATTACCCTGTTGCTGTTATCGAAAGCTCGTGCATGGCTCTTGACCAGCACAAGAAAGAGAAAAGCTCCCCGAAATGCCAGCAGCTCAATGTTGGCTAACATGGCGGTGGCGCCACGCTAACAGGTGGTTGCCAGCCGCTGGTCCACGTCGCCCGACTAGGGCGCACGGCAATAAATATGATAAAAATGTCAAGTGTGCGCAGATTAAGTGAAATCTCCGGTGTTTAATTATGCAGACGTTTTTATTACGCATCTAACACTGACTGTACCTTGGCTGGGGGATGGGTGATGTCACTGGGAATGCGGGCGTGAGCAAATAAACCCGATTTATAGGGGAGCCCCGCGCGCAGAGGGGGCTGGCAAGTCCGCTCCTGGACAATTGGCGTGCGCGCTTGTTGCTTCCACGTCGGTTTGTCGGCAAAAACAACGAGCTGCCGTTCAGTAGCCGATGGAACGCGACACTGAGCGGCAGGAAGTTGCGTATACGACGCATTGTCACTCGGCCAGCGAAGGCGGTCGCGTTCGGAAGTCCTTTTTGGCGCGCCTTTCCTCTGACACTTCTCGAGACCAGCGGAAACCGTCAAGGTGCTAAGTGCGTGTAATTAGTCGAAATTCAATTAATTGAAAAGAATTTTAAATTGAGTTACGCCGCCGCGATGGAGGCTGTAAAAGCCGAGAAGTGAAAAGTGAATTTGTGTGCAAGAGATTCCCGCCGGAAATTGTGCTTAAGGAGTGCTTCAAGGCAGTTCATACAGAAACGAAGTTTTTCAATTTAATTTAACCAAAGTTTTATTAAGTAAATTCGTCAGTAAATTAATTAAAACTAAAATCGAACTGGTTTAAAGGTTTAAAATATTGAAGTTGAATAGTTTATTTTGGTCAAAATGATATACTAACAAGGGAAAATATACATTCATATTTAAAAAATGTAAATAAAGGTGTTAACGCAATCACAATGTTTAAAATTTAAATTTAATTAAACCTTCATAAATTACAAAGTATGAAAGGTATAAGAAAATATTTCTAAGATCCCTTTAAAACACATTGTAAAATGTTCAATGACAAAGAAAATTACCTTACTTAACTAAAATTAAATCACAGTTTCTTATATTTACTTTTTCCCATTTGAAGTGCCGTAGAAAAAACTGCAATCCGACATTAATATCACTTCAAGATGATTGTCAATAAATGTGTTTAATTGTTTTCTGTTGTGATTAGTTGAATTGCCTAAAAATGAAAAGTAAATTGAAGATCATTTAGGAATTTGGAATGAGTTTTGCTGACCAAAAACCATAAAAACGGACGAAACTTTCAACACGAAAACCGAAGGTAAATTTATGTTCTACTCAAAAAAATCAAATCAAAATCAAATAAAAGCAAACTTTTTATTGGCGCCGCGTCGGAAAATCGAAAGGAATCGAGCATGACCTATTACTGTCACGTCCGCTTCCGGGGAAGATGGCCAAAAACATGAGCCAACAACTTCTGGGTCACGTTTGCCATTCAAATGGCCCGAGACCCATTGCCCATTCCAAACCAAATCCAGATCTGCACTCCCAAAAAGCTCTACAAATGGCAAATAGAGCCACTGCCAAGTCGGGCCAATTAATTAAAAAGTTTTCACGCGGCCAAAATCAAATCAACAATTTCCTCAAGTATTTAGGCGTAAAATTCGAATTGGAAGTTTTCAGCAAATCGAGTTTCGGCTGTGGTGATGGATGTTTTGCACCGAAAGAAATTTTAGGGACCTGTCTTAGATATTTTTGGTCTTTCTATAATAAATTGTTCTTTATTTTTTACAGCTCTAAGTTGTTGAATTAATTGTAACTAATTAATTATTCAAATAAAGTATTTACAAAAGTAAAAGTCTTTAACGATTCTTGTACATTTTTCTCTCAGTGACTTGTTGTTGTGGTGTGTGTCCTCAGGCAGCGGATGCGGATAGGGCTACGGCTGCGGATGTGGATACGGATACGGATGCGGCGTTGTCTGCAGCCGGCGAAAATCAATTCGCATTATTGCAGCCTCAGTGGGCTGACCAAAAACCCTTCTTGTGGCGCCGCAACGCAAATAAATTGGAGGTTTTTAAATGTGTCCCGGGTTTCGGGGGTTGATTAGACACCGTTGGCGAAGCCTTTGCCAGGTGGCTCTGGTGGCGCCCTGTCTAGCCGCGGCGGTGTGCTTGACCCCAGGGTTGACCCTAAAAATAGGCGTGTGCAGCCTCCACTCGGACTATTTTTAATCGCTCGCTCGCTCACTGTCGCTATCTTTAAGCCCTTAATTAGTTTTTCCCTCTTTTTGCGAGACTGCCACTGTGACGTGACACAAATTCAGTTCGGCTTCTGCGTCGGTTTTTGGCGCAAATAGTTGAATGACCAGCGTATCAACAAAAAGCGTAGTCTACTTTTCAGAGCTAAAGGACACGCCTTCGACTAATTGGTATGTGAGTGTGAGTGTGTGTGTGTGTGTGTGTAAGAGAGAGCGAGTGTGTGTGGCCGTGTGCTGTTTGTCATAATCAAATATCTTAACACGCAAGCTCAGTCCTTTGGCCTCCCCCTTTTCGGGTGGGATTTGCCCCGCTTTTCCCTTTGCCCTTTCCCCGCTTCTCTGGACCCTAATGACATGGCCACTGATCGGGGGGCAAAAAGTTGCCGCTGCTGCAGTTCTTAATTAGCAATTTGACGCATTATGCTGCCGGAGCTTGTTGGCATGTGCGGGCATTAAGGCTGTCTGCAGGATTACTACTATAGTCCCTAAAAGGTGAAATTAACTGGGACCCCGGCTGATGAGGACGATGCATATTAAGTTCCCTGGGCGAAGGAAGGTGGCTAAAAAAGATACATACATACATCTGGCGAGAGAGGGTCAAAGGGCAGGTCCGAGGCTAATAGCTAGTTAATTTAATCTCCCCTGTAAGCCACCGGGACTGGGCACAAGCTTCAACAAAAGCTGGCTGAAAGTAGAAGAGCTTTGGTTAAATTTCACACAAGTAAAAAAATTAAATTCAGGTGAAAACAATGGTAAATTAAGGAAGGTAACTTATGTAGGATTGAAATGAAAAAAGAGTGAATATAAAAATATGTTTTACTATTTACTATTATTTATTAAAATAATTAATTCCTATTTTTTAGTAACTGTTTAACACATAAATATTTAATTGAAATAAAATACACAATAATAATAATAATTTGTGTATTTAAAATGTATATTAAAACTTATTATTATTTATTAAATAATGAGTTATTTAGAGTTTGTTAGTTACAGGTTAATTGGTATTTTGGTATATATCCTTTTAGAAATGTATGGGAAATTGCACTTTTGGAGTTATTCTCGTTGTGTTCTAGTAGTTTCCTTTTAGCTATATCTTAAATCCAAGTTCCATTCATTGCTCGGACAATAATCCAACGCTCTTTGCAGTTGGCTTTATTGTCAATCACTCGGTCCGATTGAAATTCATCCATAATGAGGCAGCTGCGAGACAGCACCGGCATTGAGATACAAGATACAAAATGCACTGAGTGGCTGAGGCCACGGCAAGATACAGATACAAATGCAGGACACAAAAGGTATTCCAAATCATTCTGCAGTTATTTTTATGATTGAATCAATAAAACGCATTGGGAAGGTCAAGTCCCCACTTGGACTTGGACTTGTACTTGTCCTCGGGCTGGGTTCAGGTGGAAAGGCGAGCCTACAACCTGTTGAGCCAGGCGCCCGGGACAGATCGAAGGCCTTAAATATAAGCTAGAAAACCACTGGATCCGTCAAAGTATTTAATGAATTTATTTATGCTTCAATCGCGCAATTTAATTCAATTCACGCAGGGCCCCAGGAAAGCAATTCGATGGAAGAGGCCTTGAAAGTAACAAAT